CAGCAACAGTGTAGGGATGAGCACGAAATACTGAATTGCGGTTCATACAGGGAAAGAACATATCAATATTCGCATATTCATTCAAAAACATGAAAATTCTTAATGGAGTACCCTCATTTTTTATTGAATTCCTAAAAACCAATATTTATAATGAATTTTAATAATTTTTTCGAATTTTTTTTAAGCTTTATTCTGACCGATTCACCCGATTCTCGATCCGGATCGCCGATTCGCCGATCCGGATCGGTTTTTTGGAAGCCCGATCCGGGTCACCGATCCGTTTTTTAAACCATTGGTTCTATCCCTATAAGCATTCATTTTAACTTGTTACAAGAACTGGGTATTTTAACAGATTGATACAATAGTTGATGGGAAATGTAAATAAGGAAAGGCTTGACAATCTGTGAAGGGACCATGGATTTACAACAAAGGAAATTTCAAAGCGAAATATTTACACATTGGCAAAGAAATCCTTACTGTGTAATATAAATTAGCACTGATCAAAAGTTGAGATTATACCTGATGGCCCATAATTAACTAGGCGAATCTATAATTTCCTTTGTCAAATTGTAATTTAGGAGGTTCTATTTTACATTTTGGAGCATTCTTATTACAGTTCTCATTTTGGGTCTTGCATTCCATGAGACACTAACACAAGCTTGAGCAACCTTAAGGATCTGCAGCATCTGGTATTGAATGGAAGTCGACGAACTGCTAATTCTGGAGTCCAGGATCGATTCCCAAGTTTCATTTCGAGAAGGAGTGTCCATAACCCACTTTGTTAACTCTCTGCCTTTGCAAACAGCAGGCTCTCCTGTCAACAGTTCCAGTAGGATAACACCAAAACTGTAGACATTACCATGCGTTGTGATTCTCATTGTGTATGCATATTCTGAAAACCAAGAAGCACTAATATTAGCCCAAGAATTTTAACAAAATCATACTAAGAAAAAGCATCCTGCCAAATCAGAACCACATGCCAAACCACAAGCACAAAAAGTAGGCAGCAAATTTTAGTATCCCAGTCTAATGCTGTACATTCAAAGATATGACATAAAAGAAGGTGCTTTGATTATGAAAACCTGTTTTCTTTTTCTTGTTTGCTAATATCATTGTGAAAATCCATACACTGAAGAGGACAAATAAGAAAAACAAATGGCATAATTACATGCATCGACTGGCCTCTCCAACCATGAGTCAGACACCTGAAGATAAGATCTGATACTTCATTGAAATGAGTTATGAGATGCTGCAGTATTGCAGTGGATGGAATACACAAGTAGGCTAGATTCAAAATGAGGTAGAAAACTTTATTTTAATATAAAAAAGTGAAACCGACTTTAATGTCAAGCCATGACTTGTGAGGCAAGAACAGAGACTTCATTTCGACTCACAGTTATAGGAGGCTCTACTTGCAAAACAGAGTGTGCAAATGAAGGACATGACTGAAGATAAAACTTTTAATTCTGCACCAAATGATCGGAACAGAACTAACATTTAAGACTTTTTTCTGGTAAACTTAGATTCATTGTTTGCTACTAAAATGCTTAAAGAATGGAGCATGAGCAACTTCTAAGATTCTAACCTGGAGGAATGTAACCAACAGAACCCGAAATAGTGGAGAGGCTCCCAGTGCTCTTCGATGGATCAATGATCTTGCAGAGTTCAATATCAGCAATTAAAGGTTCACTATTTGACTTCAAAAATATGCTCCTTGTTGAGAGGTCAAGATGGAGGATTGGGTTAGTGCATCCATGAAGGAAAGCGAGACCCTGAGCCAAACCCAGGGCAATGGAATAGCGGCATGGCCAATCAAGCACTGCCTCAACCCTTTGATGAAGAAATTCAAAGAGGGTCCCTTTATGAACATATTCATAGAAAAGATAAACACTCTCACTAGTCAAGAAATAGGCCAAAGGTGTTACAACATTTGAATGACTCAGCTTTGCGATGGTGCTTAGCTCTTCCCTGAATTTCCTGTAATTCCTCAAATGGAAAATCTTGTCGCTCCAGTTATGCTTCTTAACACAGTAACTCGTCCCTGAAGATATGGTGACCTTGTAATAGGTGGAAAATTTGTTCTTCAAAATGATATTAGTGGGATCTGAGGCTGCTTCCATTGCCTTCTCAAAGTCAATATTAGACTTGTGGGTGCTATTGGCTGTGAGAAGATGGCCTTCAATAACCTGTGGTTGCTCTTCAGCCATCTCTGAAACCCCAGTATCCACTCGATAAGCACGTCTTAAAAGAAACAAGACAAACACCACTAGCCCAAGAGCTGATATAGCACCAATAATTGCCACCACTGTCAAAATAGCATGCGAAGAACTTTTCTTGCCTGGGCTGGTAGGATGGGGATTAGGTATGAGGAGGTCTTTATTACCAGTGGTATTGACCATCACATTTTTTGTGAAAGGGGGAAGAGTTCCTGAAAGCCTATTGTTTGATAGTATAAGGAGCATTAGGGATCCCATCTGGGTCAGGAAAAGGGGGACTTCACCAGTGAATTCATTGTGAGAAAGGTCTAACACACCTAGGTCTCTCAAATCCTGTAAGGAATTGGGTATTCTTCCTTGAAAAAGGTTGCTGCTCAGGTTTAGGGTCAATGATAATCTAGGAGGCATCAATGGAATGGGGTTCGTCAATCTATTGTTTCCCAATTGAAGTTCTAACAAAGAGTTTGAATTATGGGCAGTAGAAGGTATTGATCCATTAAGCATGTTACCCCCTAAGTCCAAGAATTGAAGCTTCGGTAATTGAAAAATTGTGTCAGGGATTCTACCAGAGAGTGAATTCTGGCTGAGATTTAAAGTGAAGAGATTTTGAAGTTGGGATAGCTCCTTGGGAATTTCACCACGGAGATTATTTCTATTAAGCTTCAAAACACCTAGCTCACTGAGATTACCAAGTTGGGGTGGCACTGATCCACTCAAAGCATTATTAGCAAGGTTCAGGAGACTGAGACTCTTACATCTCTGCAATTCCAATGGAATCTCTCCTGATAAGTTGTTGTCATCCACCTCAAAGTATGTCAAGTATGGAAGCTCTCCCACTGTTAAAGGGATGCTCCCACTCAGTAAGTTGCCTCCTAGACGAAGCCGAAATAAGCTCTTTGATAGATTCCTAGGGATGTGCCCAACTAAGCGATTGGAACTGAGATCCACACTCTGTAAATTCACAGGAGGGAGAAGGTCTAATGGGATTAGGCCCTCTAAATAGTTGAAGCTAAGGTCTAATACATGAAGAGATGAAGTGATCCCTGATGGAATTGTGCCTGTAAATCCATTTTGGTGAGCAGCAAACCTGAAAAGAGTCGGGATGTTCAGTAGACTCTGAGGGATTGTTCCAACCAGTTTATTCGTTGAAAGAACAAGGAATTTGAGCTTGGAAAGCTTACCTATACTATGAGGCAAGGAACCAGAAACATTGTTTTCACTAAGATCCAATAGTATTAGATTGGTATAGTCAAAGATCTTCTCAGGGATCCTCCCCACAAAATGATTAGCAGAGAGATGCAACTCCTCTAAGGCCATGGCTTTTCCAAGAGAAAAAGGAAGAGAACCACCCAATGAATTAGAGCTCAAATTGAGGCTCTTGAGCCCCACCAACCCATCAAATTGAAGACTCACTTCTCCCTCCAAAGAATTTGCAGACAAGTCAAGAGTCTCCAAACTGAGCATACCATCAAAAGGAGGTATATTTCCGGAGAGGCCGTTACTGCTAAGATTAAGGACCTTCAAACCACTACAGCTGTTTGTGAAACCAGGAGGAATCTCTTTGACACTGTTCCTTGAAAAGTCGAGCTTTTGAAGAGAACCCAGCTGGCAAAAAGTGGTTAAAACACTACTACTGTTAATGCCAACACCAGAGAGAGAAATCTCTGTTACAGAATTTCCATTGCAGGTCACTCCCTTCCATTTACATGGGTCAGGATTAGAGGTGTTCCAAATGTGAGAGGAGATACTAAGCATGATATGTCTTTGCTCAGGAGCTAGCTGAGAGAGAGCTGATTCAATGGAGAAGGAGAAGAAGAAGAGAAAGAGAGAGCAACTGGGTACATAGACATGCCTCATTTTGAAGCTGAGATTTTTGTGACAGGTGCTATGAACAAGGCATGGTTCTAATAGATGAAGATGGTTTCTGTCAAAGATAATTGCAGTGGAGGGTCAAAGGGGGGACACGGAATTGGAATTTTTGAGTCTTTTAGAAGACTCAAGAGTTTGGCCGTGTTGACTGGGGTGAGAGACAAAGTGACGTTTGCAGTCCTCCTACAGTGTGAACCAGAGAAGAGAGGGGTAAGAGAAAATTTCACGTTTGTAGTCCGAGACACACGGGATTGTTAATCTGCCCCAATCACTGTGAATATAGAAAAAAAAGTACGAGGTTCACACTCACTGATATCAGGTGGGAACTGAAGAGTGGTTATCAGTGGTTAAGGGAGGCAGATGCCTCAACATAACGTCCCACCCTCCATTCCCACCAGTAACATGTAAAAAAAAAACAGAGCAAAAAATGAAGCTCTGTTGAGTTTTAGGAAGGACGCCGTCAGCGTGTTTGGCACGCAATTGTAGAAATGCGAACCTCTTAATAAATTTTAAAAATGAAGCTCTTTGGAAGTTTAGGAAGGAAGTGCAAGTTTAGGAAGGAAGTGCAGGCCTCTTAATAAATCTAAAAAAATGAAGCTCTTTAAAATTTCATGAAGGACGCGGTTTAGAAGGACTCGCATAGCATGAGTTTTAGGAAGGATGCCGTCAGCGCGTTTGGCACGCAATTGTAGAAATGCGAACCTCTTAATAAATCTAAAAAATGAAGCTCTTTGGAATTTTAGGAAGGAAGTGCAGGCCTCTTAATAAATCTAAAAAAATGAAGCACTTTAAAATTTTATGAAGGACGCGGTTTAGAAGGACTCGGTTAGCATGTTGGCTAAGCCCACATATGTAGAAATGCAGGACTCTTAATAAATCTATTTTTGAAATGGAGTTTTTGACTTAAGTTTTAAGGACATACAGTCTCTAACATGGAGATCATGGATATGAATAAATAAATAAATTTAAAACACTACAAATAATAATTCCATTAAGAAAACATTTTGACAATTAGTTTCTATTGTTTTAAAATACCACAAGATGGATGCTTTATATTTTTGGACCACATATCTAAAAAATGCGGTCCAGCTCGCATGAAATAATTTTCCTTTCAGAAAAAGGGCTTAAGAAATGGATTGGGGTTGTGGTAGTAGCATCTCTTACACCTAGTCGGTTTCCATTCTTACCACTAACACCACCCCACTAGCACTTTAAAAAATGTAACTCCTAATCTATTGAGAAAAATGGGTAGGGACCTATCTTCCCCACTGAATTACCCAAAACAAAAGACAAGAAGGGAAACTAGCAAACTAACCATCATCTATTTCTTTGAATGGGCTGTGAAGAAGTTTGTTTGTATAATATTCTAATATACATTATATGTTTGTATGAATGTATTATGTAGAGGCCAAGCTTTCTATGTTTCCCTTATAGCATAAAATTTACATATTCCCCCTTATCCAACCATCCATTCTGAATGGAGGGCTAAGAAAACTTGAATCACAATGTCACATCTCTACACGATATTTTTTTAATCTTTTTTCTTACACAGTATTTTGACACCAAATATTGGGTGACCAATCCTCTCTTAATCTCGCACTTGTAAAAAATATATAAAAAAAATTCTCAATAACATAAAATGACCAAAATACCCATATAAATTTCAAGGGGTATTTTGGTTATTATATTTTATTGTTTAGGTGCACCCCAATAAGAAGAAGGCATCTACCAAATTTCACATTCATATATTCTGTATAAAAAAAAAACTAAAAATAAAATACTATAAGGGGTCAGATCTAGATCAAACGGTGACTGGCTCACATGATCAAAATTGGACTGCTAGATGGTAGGGGAGCATATATCTTCAATGCTTTAGGGGGAAGCCTTTCCCTTATGTAGATATTGAGGAAAAAGTTTGTATAAGTTGGACCTTAAACTATAGAAGTAAGGTGCACCTTAAACAAAAGGTGCTTTTTCAAAGATATTTTTTCAATGTTAAAAAAAAAGTGAGAGGTTTTGAGAGAAACACGGGAAGAGAGAGAGAAGGGATTTAGATAGAAATAGAAAAAAGAGTCTTTTAAACTTTTATTTAGGATAAAAAGATGGGGTATAGTTGGTCCGGGGGTTAGATGAAATAATATATCAGATTTTTATGCCACCAGATAAGTTTTGAAACCTTGCGTTTGTTGAGAAATAAAACCTAAAAGGAAA